AATCCAGGAGTCAGCCTGAAGCCCAGCTCCAGGTCAGCTTCCCTTCCTAGAGAACTGCATTTCCTAGAGTGCAGTGGAGACCCCCGTGTGTTCACTTCAACCATAGCTGCTGCCTGGCATCACACGAGATGTTGTTCTGAATTGGACCTGTTCTTGCAAAGCTTAGGAATCTATTACACTATCCTTCAAGTTTTCCTCCAAATAATCCTTCAGACATACCAATTCTGGGTACCCCCAAACCACCCTTACCCTTTGCATTCCTCACACCTCTACTTTATCCAAAGCCATTCCCATCCCTCCTATTTCCCCCCACAGGGCTTCTCCCCAGTAGGTCCCTCCTCAAATGCCCCTACATCAAAACTCTCTTAAATCATCTTCCTTCTAGGGTGGAGAGGGTGGGGTTTAGAGATGGCTTCACCTTTGCTGACCCCTGCAGGGGTCTGGGAGCTTGAGGGTGGGACTCTCTCCTCCTCCTCCTCCTCGTCAGCTCGTGGGGGCTCCACAAAGTAATCATCTACTGGCTGCAGGAAGGATTCCTCCTCTTCCTCGTCATCACCCCTCTCAACTCTGCTTCCCGGGGGCCAGGACCGGGTGGAGGGATCACTGAGGGAGCAGAAGACCCAAGGAAATAAGAACCTGGGCCTAGGTCCCCAGGCTTCCATCTCCTGCCTCAGGAGCCTGGAGGGTTGGGCCTGGAGGGTTCCCTATCACTCACCCGACTGCTGTCCCAGAAGGGTTGGTGGTCGCTGGAGGTGGGCAGCACACATATTCCACACCTCGGAACCGATCTGCGCCACAGGGCAAAAGCATGCCTGAGCCATGCAGGATGAGGCCCTGGGAGCTGCAGGCCTGTGGGAAGAGTGGGCATAGATACCAGGTCTGGGGGGTAAGGAAGGGTGGAGGGGGAGCCTAGATGCCTGAGTCTTAGGAGCTGATGGGGCTTGGAGCCTGGATTCCCGGTTCTGTCCCACAGGGGAGAGGGGGCTGAGGCTCAGACTCGGGTTGTGGAGGAGGGTGTTAGAGGATTGGAATCCTGGGTTCTCCAGGAGGGGTGGGAGGATGAGGGGCTGGGTCCTTACTTCCTGTGCTTCCTGCTGCCTCCGGGTTGAACTCTCACACTGGTCCATGCGCTCCTGGTGCAAGAACCGGCAGCCTTCAGGCACCAGCAGGGCCTCGCTCACGAATTCACCGGCTGGAAAATGGGGGCGGGGGGAGCATCGGTGTGAGACACTCCCACAGCCACTAGCCCTACCCACTTCCCCCCTCCCCAGAATTCAGATCTTTTNGGGGAGCATCGGTGTGAGACACTCCCACAGCCACTAGCCCTACCCACTTCCCCCCTCCCCAGAATTCAGATCTTTTACCCTCAGAGGCTTCTGTCCCACTGTGGACTCAGGCACCTAGCTCCCTAATGCGAGCCCGAGACCAGGGCCAGACTCTCATCCCTTGGAGACTACCACCCAACCCCCCACCTTCCGTTCCCCAACCCCTCGGCCTGTGACTCACGCAGGCAGTGGAAAGGCACAACTTGGTGGTGGGGATGGGCACAGTGGCCACCCCGGGCACCTCCGCACCATTGTTCCATGGGGATGGCCTGCGTCGCCTGCTCCACACGGGCAATCTGCAGCTCCGGGTACATCTGGGGGCACCAAGTCGGGGCGATCAGCCCTCTGCCTCGCCCCTACCAGGTGCGCTCCTGCGCTGGCGTGTCCCTTTTCAAGACTCTAGTATTCGAAAGACCCACTCTTCCCTAGACCCGTAGAACAGGACTTAAAAGATATCTAAGCCCTACAAGCCATTGGCCACGCCCCTTAGTACCGCTCCCTTCCATCCTTAGGCTCCGCCCCTTTGCCTGTCGGGTTTCTTTATGAAGCTCCCTCCATTACCCCAAAGCTCTCCCTTTAAGCCCACCTCTTTTCTAGTCGCTTCTGCCCCTTCCCCCAATCAAGTTCATCTCCCCATAGATTCCACCCTTCTCTAAGCCTCGCCTCTGGCCTCTCAGGATCCTTTCTCTTTGTGTTAGACCTGCTTTTTCATAGCCACACCTCCTAGGTTTCCACTCTCCCATTGGGTTTCACCCCTTTCCCAGTCACTCGAGTCCACAAGGTCTTTTTGTCTTAGCCCCGCCTCTTACTTGCCACGCCCACCTACACCTGCTCTTTAAAGAGTCCACCACATTGTTAAATTCCATCTCATCACTGGACACTGTCCTCAGCTGGCCGTGTTTGCACGGTTCTTCTCTTTTCTTGACCTAGTTTCTCAAAACCAGGTCCTGTCCTATCCTAACTTTGCCTCTTTGTTGGCCATGTCCCCTAGTTTCCCATGCCTTCTTGAACCCCTCATTTCCCCGGACCTTGCCTTTGCACGGCTAGCGTCTTAAGGGCAACCTGGTCCCAACTCGGACCCGCTTTTTTGCTGGCCACGCCCCTCTCAGTCGGTCCCGCCTACCTGTCTGCAGTACTCCAGCACGCGCTGCGGGTCCCGGAGACAGCGTCGTGAGAGCTGTGGGTCTGGTTCCCAGCGGCCGGTGCGCAGGTCCCGGTGAAGGGTTGGGCGCCCGCATAGTCCAGCCACCTGGGCAGACCCTGGGGCCTGGGGGTGGGGGCGGAGGGGTCAGCGAGGGCACGGGGGACGCTGACATGTGAGTCCCCCGGTCCTTTGCTCCCTAGGACCCAGATGGTCACACCCCCAGCACCAGCCCCCTCCATCAAGCACCGCGCACCCGCCTCTGTGGAGGTTCGGTTCCCTGGGTAACAGCTCCCACTGGGCCGGGGGCCGCCCCAGCTCTGCCGTTGCTATGGCAACTCGGGGTCTCCAGGGATTCTCACGGCCTTGTTGCCGCGGAGACAAGCCCCGCCCTCACCCCAGCGCAGCCGCACTGGAGCTCGAAGGGGTTAAACTTGAATGGCGGGGGAGGAGGCCAGAACCCAGGCGTTCTGGCCCCTCCTCCCTCCGTCCCTAGCTCACGCTCGCATTCTCGAGTGGAAAGACCACAAGGCCTGGCTTCAGGGCCCTTCAGGCCTGGACACTCAGTCCTTGGGCTATGGAGAGCTACATCCTGGGTTTGGGGGGGCGGTGGCTGGAGGTTCCTGGGTTCTGGGAGCCTTGCGGGAGTCTTCATATGGGTCCCGAGGATAAANCTTCAGGCCTGGACACTCAGTCCTTGGGCGATGGAGAGCTACATCCTGGGTTTGGGGGGGCGGTGGCTGGAGGTTCCTGGGTTCTGGGAGCCTTGCGGGAGTCTTCATATGGGTCCCGAGGATAAACGGGGCCCAGATTCTTGGCTCTAGGTGCCTTGCTGCCCGGCGGGTCCTATTCAGATGGGCAGGGGCTGGGGCTGAGTCACCTAGGTCGAGAGGGTCTGAAGGGGCTAGACTTCGGGACGACGCTGGGGCCTGAACTTAGGGGTTTCTGAACGCCTAGCGCTATTAGGGGCCCCTGGGGGCTGGCCACCTGGCTGAAAAGACTGCGCTTTCTGCTTCGCACCTATCCGCCCCGGGGTCCAGAGGCCCGGTCCCGCCCGTTCCCCCACCCGCTAGGGCTCGGCCGGGCCTCACCTCGGCCGCGCTGGGGCTCCCACCGGCCAGGTTCCCTTCGGCGAGCTGCACGCGCAGAAGCAGCAGCAACAGTGGCAGCAACCGCAGCAGCGGGCCCAGACCACGAGCGGCGGGGCTGGCGGGCCCCATGTCCGGGCCCTCGCGCCCTCACGTCTCCAGCACTCCCGCCCGGCCGGGCCCCAGCGGTGACAGGAGCTCCCAGCGCCACGGCCGCCGCCTCCTCCGCCGACGCCCCCGAGCTGCGCCGGCGCCGCCAGCCCCGAGGCCCCGCCTTCCCGGCCAGGACAATAGCGTGGCAGCTTTGCGCACAGCTGAGCAGCCTGGAAGCCCCCGGTGAGAGCCTGCGCCAGGCCTCCGCCCCCTTGTGGGGGACTCCAGGCGTCCCACCTATGGAAGGGCCTACCCGGGGGTCTGGGTCACAGGCTTCGTAGTTGTGGATTTTGAGTTCTCCAAGACCGTCACCTCCTGTTTTTTCCCTTGGTCCCAGACCCTCACTAAACGTCTTCCTTCTCTTCCAGGGACGCCAGCACAGGAGCCCCTACCCCACCCCCAGATCCTTTTGAGGTCACCTCTTGAGGTCCTAGGCCTCCAAAATTTCCTCAATCAAGAACACAGCAGTTGAGCTTTAAACGACCGTGAAGCTGGGGAGATTCTGGCCAGCAAAAGGAGGTCGGCTCTCATTGTTCTCCCAGCCTTTCCACCCTCCTCTGAAACCCTTCAATAAAATGGCTTGATTTAAAATAACAAACAATCAAACAAAACCCCACAGCAGTTGACACCCAGTCTCTTCTCCCTCAGATCCAAGAGTCTGGGTCCCAGGTACCTTCTCTCTCTGGACCAGAGACCAAGCCCTTGGCCCTTTCTCTCTAAGATCAACGAGTCCAGGCCTTCTGCTCTGCTTTCCAGGAGCCCTAGTCATAGACCTTTAATTCCTAGATCAAGGATGCATGAACCAAAGCCCCCAGACCCTTTCTTTAAGGATGAGCCGAGTCAGGTACCTATCACCTCAAGATAAGGGTCAACCCCCATTCTTGCTCTGAGGATCAGGACAGTTCTCTTTTCCCACTCCTAGCCTCTCCTTTGCTGCCTCCCCTTCAGGGTTCACTTCCTTCTCTTCCCAAAATACAGTGTAGAATTGTCTTCCCCAAGCAGACTGGGGCAGTCCTGTCACGTGTGTGCATCTGCACATGTTTGTTTGTCTAAATGTATCTTAACAGAGCTTAGAGTGCTCAGTTCAGTTCAGTGGTCACTCAGTCATGTCCGACTCTTTACGACCCCATGGACTGCTGCATGAGTGCTCAATGGATAGTAAAGGGCTGTGGGTTGGCTCATGTTTTTTTCTACAGCCACTTCGTAGTCTAGGGTAAGAGGAAGGGCCTTGGGGCAGGTTCGATGTACCCCTTCCTTGATAGACAGTAATAATGCCAGGGGATTTCTAAGATATTCACTTTGCAACTTTTTTTTTTTAATTGAACATAAATATTCTCATTCCCAGATTCCAACACCACTCCTTCCCCGCTTCCCACCACCACAACAGCTCTTACCCTGTCCTTACTCCTTGGGCCCGGTTCTTCCAGGACCTTTAAGGAAGGAAGAAAGAATCAAGATGGTGGCCATCTTGGATTCCCAGAGAATGAATGGCCATTTTGACAGCAGTTCCATGGGTGAAGCAAAGTACCCCTTGGGGATAGCAAGGACAGGTCCTGTATCTTGATCTGCTTTATGTTGCCTTTCTTCTTAATGTGGGTGGCCATCTTGAAATCTCTTCTTTCAATGTTTGGAAGCAATTTCCTTCTCTGTCCCTAACTCCCATCACCCCTGTTCCCATCCCTCTGCAAAGGGCCCATCTGCCCTCTTGAATCTCTTTTTTACACAGGAAGAAGCAGGCCCAGTGGCCTCCTTGCTTCCACTCGGGGCATCCCCTTTGGCTGAGTTGACTGTACATCAATGACCCAGGCAATTGTAATGATCTTTCCTTCCCCTCAAGGTTCAATTTTGGAAGGGTAGGTTGCCAGTTTGTTCTGGTTACTCAGAAATCAGAACAATCCATTATGCAAGTTGAAGATCCCAGGACTCTTCAGCTGGAGAGATGTCACACATGAGTCTGGAGACGTGGGTGGCTGGGCGTGGGGAAGGCAGCATATGGGAAGGGAGGAGTGCTGGGGGCCAGATCTGGGGGTCCAAAGGATGTGGGTTTGATGTAGCTAGTAAAAGCTCGAGGATGGGGTGTGGTGAGATAGCCTGCCCGGGCTCTATACAGTCTGCAGGGGGGGACCATGCCCAGATGTGGATTGAAGTCATAGAAGGTAGGGGTTCCCGGAGGTCCGAGAGGGGAGGAGGGTGGTAGGAAAAGACCTCCTCCGGGGGCTTCTCCAAGGCTCAGGCTCACACTGACTCCTCGGACCTTGTAGTAACCATTGGTTGGGTCCTGAGGGAACAAAATGGGACTTGGTAAGGTATGTGAAGGTATAGAGGGATGAGGGTAAATGAATAGAGAGACACACTGAGATAGAACCAGACCTAGGGAGAGACGAAAAGACAGAAGGAGGAGCAGGCAGAGAATCCAGAGACATATAGACTGGTAGAAGGGCAAAGTGAGACAGAAAAACAGTAAAGAGATGAAAGGACAGAAAGAGATGGACAGAGAAAGGCAGAGACAGAGGTCTGCCAAGGGATGGTGGTATGGAAAGGAGATGCAGAGGGAACAAGAGAGAGAAATGGAGATCAAGACATCCATTCATGCATTTGCCCAACAGCCTGAGGCTTTGACTCTATGTGCTGCTGCTGGAGACATCTCTCTCTAGGATAGACCTAGTCCCACCTTCATGGAGATTGCAGGTCAAAGGAGAAATGATGAGTCACCAGACGGAACCAGGAAGGGTCAAGGATGTGATGGAGGAGATTCAGGCAGAGTGACTGGAACAGTGATGGGAGAACCTTCAGACTGTGGTGGGGAAGCCTAGATCACAGTGGTCCTGGCTGTGACAGGTGAAACAGAATGATCAGGGCTAGGAGGAGAGAAGCAAAAGTTTTCCAGCACAAAAAATGTTTGAGGGCTTTCCTGGTGGTCCAGTGGTTAAGAATCTGCCTGTCAGTGCAAGGGACACTGGTTTGATCCCTGGTCCAGGAAGATCCCATGTGTCATGAAGCAACCAAGCCCGTGCTTCACAACAACTGGACCCATGTGTTGCAATGTGCCCTAGAGCCCGTACTTTGCAATATAAGGAGCCACCGAGATGGGAAGCCCACACACCACAACTAGAGAGTAGCCTCCGCTCACTGCAACTAGAGAAAAGCCTGCAGGAAGCACCAAAAGGCCCACCACAGCCAATAAATAAATAAATAAATCTTAAAAACAAACGAAGAGATGTTTGAACTGACACCAGAGGAATAATGGAGAGAACCAGGTAGGTATGTGAAGAAAAGGGGCTTCCCAAGTGGCGCTAGAGGTAAAGAACCTGCCTGCCAATGCAGGAGACATGAGATGAGGGTTCGATCCCCGGGTCAGGAAGATCCCTTGGAGGAGGGCACAGCAATCCATTTCAGCATTCTTGCCTGGATTATCCCATTGACAGAGCAGCCTAGCAGGGTGGCAAAGAGTCGGACAGGACTGAAACGACTTAGCACACTTGAAGAAAGGAGTGTTTCAGGCCAAGAGACCAGCATCTGCTAGGTAGAGAGAGAGAAGGACTCTGGACTGGGAAGTGGGGTCAGTGGGGCCCCATTTTGGGGGGAACAAAGGACGGACAAGTTTGGGGAAATGTGACGCTAGTGTGGAAACTGGTAGGCAGAAGGGGCCTGGGTGAAGCAACCAGGGAGAGGCATTTAGGAGGCCTGATGTGGGGTGTGGGCCTCTGATGGGGAAAGCACAGGCAGAGTGAACCTTGAACTGGGGCTCAAGATGCAGGCCAAGGCTGGGGCAGATATGTGGGCATAGTCAGCAGACAAACCAACTGAGACTGTGAAGGTGGATGAGACAGCCCAGGAGGCAGCAAGAAATGGGTGGAGGGGGATGTCCCTGCTGGTCCAGGGGCTAAGACTCCCTGTTCCTGATGCAGAAGGCCGAGGCAGAGTTCCAGTGCAGAGTTAGATCCCTGATCAGGGAACTAGATCTCACATGTCGCAACTAAAAAAAATCCTGCATATGGCAGCAAAGATTGAAGATCCTGCGTGCCACAACTAAGACCTAACACAACCAAATAAATAGATAATATTAAAAAAAAAAAGTGGGTAGAGGGGCCAGAATGAAAAAGGAGGGAACAGAAGTGGAGAGAGAGTTGGGAGACACAGTGAAGGGAGCCCCTCTTTTCCCAACACTCACCTTGGTCTCCAGAGCCCCCTCCTCATCCAGAACCAGGTCACTGTGGTCCGTGTGCACGATGGGGCCCTGGGGTAGAGTACTTAGTGAGAGGGAGTGTAGACTACACTGCAGGGGATGCCAGACCCCAGAGACCCTCAGTTGAACATCTGAGGCCAGGAAGGAAGGACGAAGGGCTCTTGGGAGCTGGGGTCTGGACACAGAACAACAAGGAGTAGGGGGACAGGGCTAGGGAATAATTGGGATGGGGCATACTTGGTTTTGGGGGCCTTTTGGTTTTGGGGGTCACTGTTGGGACTAGGGCTCTATTTGAGTTTGGGGGGCCTGATTGGGATAGGGATCACAACTGGTTACTATTTGGTTTTGAGGTACCATCAGGTCTTGGAACCCTCACATCCTACCTGGTCTTTGCTGCTGCCTGCCTCCTCCTCGGGGCCCCTGGAACTGGAGTCATCACTGCTCCCTGGGATTCGCACCAGGTTCTTTTGCTTGGAGAAAGAGGCTGAGCCCAGGAACATTGGAGGTGGGGGCAAAGGTAAGTGATGGGGCTGGGTCACGGTTTGTGGAGACCAGTGAGCAGGAGGAGAGAGGGCTGGGGCGAATCAGGCTGGAAGGCTGGGAAGCAAAGAGACCACTGGCCTAGGAGGGCAAGGGGTGTGACCCTGAGGAGATGGAGTTAGAGCTTGAGCTGGGAACCAGGCTTTGAATGGGAGCCAAGCCCAAAGGGGGTCTGGAGAGGCAGGACTGGGACAAGCCCCAAGGCCAGAGCAGCCAGTGTACAGGACCTGTGTGGGGGTCTGGGGTGGGGTTCAGACACTGACCCCTGCCGTGGCGCCAGCAACAGAGAGCCACCCCAGTGATGATCATAAGGAGAGTCATGGCCATGGCGGCCACTCCGGCCACAATCCGCACAGTGGGCAGCAAGTCTGTGGGAAGAAGGGGAGGGGGTTTCTGGGGAGGCTGAGCAGATGACTGAGCAGGAACTGGGGAACAGGGCTTGAGTAAGGGAACCTCTGGTCAAAGGTCATCAAGTCTGGGGATTCCCAAGTTTTGTAGTCCCCTGGCCTGGGGTCTCTGGGTTTAACAGCACATGAACCTGGGGTTTCATAAGTTTAGATTCCCTGACTTTAAGAAGTCATAAAGTTTGAAGGTATTTTACTTTGCAATTCTCTATATTTGGAGGTAGGCTTCTTTGGAGTCCCTAAGTGTGAGAGGTCTTTCAGTTTAGGATTCTGTATTTGACAGAAATTATTGTTGGGGGCGGGGGTGGTCTCAGGATTCAAGGGACTCCTAGTTTTGAGGCTCCCAAGGTTCTAGGGCTCTGCCTTTGAGGGTCTTCTGTTTGGAAATTGTGGCATTTTGAGGGTTTGAAAACCTCAGATTTGGGGTCTTCAGGTCCAGAATCTCACCTCTACGGCCCAGGCTGACCTGGGTGCCTCCCTCACCCAATCGGTTCCGGGCACTGCAGTTGAAGCCCCGGTGAAAGTCGGACTCCTGGGTCCCCGAAATGTGTAGCACAGAGATCAGGCCTGGACCCTGTCCCCCGAGGCCCTCTGGGGCTGGGAAGGTCTCCACCAGGAACCGACCCTGTGACCCTGCCGTCAGGAAGCCCTCATCCCAAGACCAGACCTGGGGGCACAAAAGAGGAAGGTCACTGAGGAGACTCCGGAGGGCAGGAAGGGGTGGGCAGGGCCTGGGAAAAGTCAGAGGAAATCACAGCGGCCTGGGGAGTCTGTCTAGGAGGTCAGGGTGGCCGGATGGGTCATGAGAATGGGGACTTTCCTTACCACGGCTTCTGGGGCAGGGGAAGCGAAGACCAGACACTGGAGGCGGGCGGGGCCCCTCAGGAAGGCAGGCGTAGAGTGCAGAGCAGTCACTACTGGGGGAGCTGGTTTGGAGATTGTGAACCAGTCAGAGGAGAGGCCCCGCCCTCCCCGAAGCCCATTCTCAAGCTGGCTGGGTCAGGCCTGGGCTCTCCCCACTAACCTCAACCTACCATCCCACTCCTCTTAACAAACGTGAACCCTACTGAGGTCAGCCTTTTGTAGGTCCAGCAGCAATCCCCAGGCACCACCCCCTTCTTCTCATGGCCACCCCCACTCCCGTTAGATCTCATCCCCTCTGCCCACTTCTTATCCCAGAACCCGCCGGGCCCACTAGGAAGCGCCTCTTTCTCACCGTTCACAGTCAGCCTAGCTTCCGCAGCGCCACCGCCCCGGCCCGAGAGCCCTGGCTCGGCCCTGCACACGTAGTCGCCTGCATCCTCGGGCCCCACCGCGGGAAGACGCAGCGTGGGCCCGGAGGCCAGCACCTGGGAAACGGAAGGGGCATCAAGGGCGCGACCTTGGGAGGAAGCCCCCCTTACTGCCAGCCGCGGCCACAAGCCCCAGATCTGGCTTCACCTGTGCGTCCCCGCGGCGGGTCCAGGTTACTCGTGGGAGGGGCCCCTCAGGAAGGCAGGCGTAGAGTGCAGAGCGGTCACTACTGGGGGAGCTGGTTTGGAGATTGTGAGCCAGTCAGAGGAGAGGCCCCGCCCTCCCCGAAGCCCATTCTCAAGCTGGCTGGGTCAGGCCTGGGCTCTCCCCACTAACTTCAACCTACCATCCCACTCCTCTCAACAAACGTGAACCCTACTGAGGTCAGCCTTTTGTATGTCCAGCAGCAATCCCCAGGCACCATCCCCTTCTTCTCATGGCCACCCCCACTCCTGTTAGACCTCATCCCCTCTGCCCACTTCTTATCCCAGAACCCGCCGGGCCCACTAGGAAGCGCCTCTTTCTCACCGTTCACAGTCAGCCTAGCTTCCGCAGAGCCACCGCCCCGGCCCGAGAGCCCCGGCTCGGCCCTGCACACGTAGTCGCCTGCATCCTCGGGCCCCGCCGCGGGAAGACGCAGCGTGGGCCCGGAGGCCAGCACCTGGGAAACGGAAGGGGCGTCAAGGGCGCGACCTTGGGAGGAAGCCCCCCCTACTGCCAGCCGCGGCCACAAGCCCCAGATCTGGCTTCACCTGTGCGTCCCCGCGGCGGGTCCAGGTTACTCGTGGGAGTGGATTCCCGCGCCAGACACAGCTGAAGGAGGCGTCTTCTCCTACGTCCACAGACAAGGGTTTCGGCTTTGCCTGCAGAATCGGCCCGACTGGAGGAGACCGAAGAGGGGCCACATGACCAGGGAGGGAAGCAACTTCTGACTCCGTAGCAGACACTCAGAAACGACACCCACAAGGGCCCATTGGGTTGAAGACCCCAGTTCTCAAATCGGCACTCACGTCTGGCCTACAAGCCTCAGCCTCACTCTCGCCCCGCCCCTGCTCCACTTTGGCACTGATCCAGCACGGCCAAATCCCGCCTAAATCCTACACCAGGCCCACCATCCCCGGCAGCCCGTCGTAGCCACGCCTCACGGTAGCCCCTGTCCCATTCTGCTCGCCCCACTTTGGCCACGCCCCCGGCCCCGCCCCGGCTCACACTGCACGTCCAGCGCTGTGCTGCGGTTGGCGCTACCCACTGCGTTGCTGACCTCGCAGGACACCGGCGCAGTCAGGAATGAAGCGTCGGCCACTACCTCCAACACTGGCCCGCGGGCCCCGAGCACCGGAGAGCCCCCCTTCGCCCATCTGCGAAGATGGTGGGGTGTTGGTGTTGTCTTTGCTCCTCAGGCACACCTACTCAGGTCCTAGCCCCAGTCCTCCCCAAGCTGGTCCTCACCTATAGCCGGTGACAGGAGGCTGGGCTGTGGCCTGGCACAGGAAAGTGACCTTCTCTCCCTCCTGTACTGTCTGTGGTTCTGCAGACAGAGTCACCACTGGGGGGTCTGTAGGGGTCAGTCAATGGTCAGTGGTGGGCAAGGACATGGAACACCTCCACTGATGACCTAGGAGTCCAGTTCTCAGCTCCTCCACCCCAGGAGTCTGATCCCCAGTCCCCTCTTCCCTTTCAGCTAGCAGTCTAGGCTTCCAGTTCCCAATTTCCCCAGGGAACCGAGGTACAAAGGCCCCTCCTTTCTCATGCCCTGAAATCCAGATCCCAGGCTCTTCTTTCTCCAAGGACCTCAGGCTCAAGGCCCAGTGTCTGATTGCACTCACACTGCAGGCTCAATGTGACAGCTGTGTCCTTCCCTGCAGGCAGGGCCTGGCTCCGGGCCCGGCAAACCAAGGTGGCTCCATCATCATGGCTGGAAGGGGTCAAAGATAAGATGCTCTCCACTGACCCGATGGTTCCTTCCTTCAATGGGGTCTGTAGGTTGTGAATAATAATGATGATTTCATCTACCTTTAGGTAGTACTTAATGTCAGTCACTCTTCCAGGCATTTATAAATATTCCTTTATTTAATCTTCCAGTAATCCTAGACGTGCATACTACTATTAACTCCACTGTACAGATTAGTAAACTGAGGGGCAGAGAGGTTAAGATCAATCAACTAAAAAGTGACTGAGCCAGGATTTGAACCCAGGTAGTCTAGCCCTATGGGGGCTTCCCAGGTGGCACTAGTGGTAAAGAACCCGCCTGCCAATGCAAGAGACATAAGAGATGCAGATTTGATTTCTGGGTCAGAAAGATCTGCTGGAGGAGGGCATGGCAACCCACTGCAGTATTCTTGCCTGGAGAATCCCATGGACAGAGGAGCCTGGCAGACCTTGGGGTCACAAAGAGTCGGAAACAACTGAAGTGACTTAGCATGCACGCATAGTCTAGCCTTAGAGTCCCTATGCTTAAGTACATACCAAGGATCCCAAGCCTTGAATCTCTGCCTTCTCGTGCCCTTCTCCTCTGCATGAGCCTGTGGTCTGAGTGGACCCCCGAATTTCCCTCAATGAGCAGGGAAGGGCTGGCACAGAGACTTGGACCTGACCTGACGGAAGATGGCCCCGTCCAGCCGGACCCCATCTCGAAACCACAGCAGCTCAGGGGTGGGGTGGGCGTCACCACGGCTCCGACAGGTCAGATTCGCAGGAACCCCAGCAACCAGAGACACAGAGGGGCCGCCCAGCACCTGGGGGGGTTCTGGAGGCACTGTAGGGTGGATCTGGGGTCAGAGCTGGATCTTGGTCCTAGAGACCCTGATCTTCCCAGCTCTAACTGCCCTCTCCTTTGTTCTCCCCGGACTCTGATATTCCCAGCTCACACTGGTGGACCCCCCTCCCCCTCCCCTGGGCTCCCCAGGGACAAGTGGGCTGAGTCCTCACCCAGCACATGCAGTTGGGCTGGTCGAGAGCGGAGGCCGGCTTGTGTTGCTTGACATTCATACGATGCTTGATCCTCTAGCTCCACGGGCCTAATGTGGAGGTCATGCTGGCCACTTGCTGCATTCCCTGATATCCAGTACCGGGACCAGCCTGGAGTCAGGGACAGAGGCAGTCACACCGTGGTTCTGAGTTCCTGGTCCCAGGCCTCCATCCCCAGGCATCTTACACTGGAAAGACACTACCAAAAGTGGGGGCTGGGCCAGAGAGACACTAATCCTTTCCCAGTCCAGAGTCACTACAAACTTGGGGGAATTATAAATTCAGGGGGAGAAAAAGCAAGAAAACAATTGCCATAAAAATCAGAGTAGATACTACCTGTAGGTAGTAGGGAGGGAGTGAGCTATGAGAGAAGGGGATAAGGAGGGCTTCTGGGGAGCTGGCAACAGGGGATGGGTAGTTGTTACACAGATATCTATTTTAGAATTATTTGACACATCTTCCATTTATGTTTTATGTGCTATTTGGCACTGATGCACTATTTTACAATCAAAATAAAAATTTCCAAACCCTATGGGTCAGCTGCAAAGAAGATCCTGAAAATTCACGACCCCCAAATGTTTCCCTGAGCCCATTAATTTCCTAAACTTGAAAATGTCAATCTAGAAACTTCAGTTGTAGCTAAAGCCCAGCATCCTCACCCTGGAGCCAGTCCCTCCCTGAAGAGATAGTAAATCCTCACCTGGAAGGTCCCTTTCTCCCCCTAGAGCCAGCCCGTCCTTAGTCCACTGAACCAGTCCCCGGTAGGCGCCCAGGGCACAGGGCAGCCGGGCCTCGTCTCCCAACAGAACTACCTGGTCCTCTGGCTGTTGCAGAAAGTGGGGTGCCAGGCCTAGGAGAGTGGGGCGAGGGAACAGAGCCGAGTTTAGCATATTCAGGAGCTCCGGATGGAATCCAGTCCCCAATCCCCTCTGCCCTCAGACCCAGAAGCCCAGGCTCCCAGGGTTCTCTTCCGTCAGACCCAGGAGTCTGGACCCTCAGCCCCATCTACCCCAGCAAAGCGACAGCTAGCAAACGACCCTCTCCTGTATGTATCTGCGCCGGCCCCTCGCGGTACCTGCACGCCCCCTGAGGCAGAAGGAGAGGACGAGGAGTACGGGCACGAGCATCCCGAGTGTGTCCCCTAAGATCCAGCAGACTTGCTGTTGCACTGGCTTCCCTGCCAGTTCCTTTCTCGGAGCACACTTCCCACCACTCTGGCCTGGAGTCCCCTCCGCTCCTGACTCTTCGCCCCAGGCTAGAAGCTCCCCTCTCTCTGACCTGGAGGTCCCCTCGTCTGCTCCGCCGCAGGCTCCGCTGCTCTGAAACGCCTGCCAGTTCAGCGCGCCAGGTCTCCGAGAGACAGTGGAGGGCCGGTTCCCACTCGCCCCGCCCCGGCCCGCCCCGTGGGAGACCCGCCCTCTTCCCATTGAGAAACTCCCGCGGCCGCGACGCGGATGAATGGGGGCACGCAGGGCTGCGTCCCCGCCAGCGGGTGAACACTCCAGCCCCCTTACGGTCTGGGAGCTGGAACACCTGGGTCGAAGGCGGGGGTACCGGTTGGGTTGGACACCTGCACCCTGCCGGGGTTGGGGGATGGCTGGGGGTAAGGAGGAGGGAGGGAGGGAGTGGAAGAAACTTGCTCAACCCGGGTCCTGGAGGGACCGCGCTGAGTGGAAACGCAGCTATAAATGGGAACCCTTGGGGACTCGCTAGTTTCCGCGCCCTGGGGAGGCGGGGCCCGGGGCTCCTCTGGGCCTGTGGGTCAAGAAGAGGGCACCATATTTGCCTGGGGGGCTGCTGGGACCCCCGAGAAGAGAGGGTTCAGTTCTCCCCACCTCAAAACGCCTTCAGTGCCCGCCTTTTTACCGCTGCAAATCACAGCTCGTCCTAAGATCCAGGAATCCAGGCCCCCTACCCCCGCCCCTCCTTTCCCAGGACCCTGCAGTTCGGGACCACCCCCTCGCCCCACTCAGCAGTGGTTGCCGGGCGACGGCTGGGAGGCGGCGGTGCCCGGGCTGAGTCAGGCAGGGAGGCTGGGAACCGCGCAGCTTGTCCTGACGGCTGCATGTCGCCCAGCTGGGGCGTTCCCACGCTGCCGGCCGGCGGTGCGCTGCGCAGCTGGCAGGGCAGGTGGGTGGAACCCGAAGCCGACAGAAGCGGGGGGACTGGGGGCCTGGGACCCTGGGTATGGCATTCTTAAACCTGTAGGGACTGGGGATCTGTACTCCGTTGTTCTGAGCTCAGATTCTTGTGTCCCTAAAGAGCAGGGACATGGACGCCTCCCCCCCACCCCCGCTCCAGGATGCTAAGACTAGGAGTTCAGACCTCTGATGACCGAGAAGTTAATGGCCTGAACGCCGAGTTTCTGAGGCACTGGGGACTCAACTAGGGCCCCTGCCTGAAGCAGAGTGCAGTTGGGAAAGGATTACCTGAGGTCAGAAAATCTGGTCTTAAGTCTTAGAGTCAGTGGATTTAACCACCAATCTCTCTCCCACCCCCTCGCAGGCCCAGGAGGATTTGAAAATCAGCCGGCACTGAACATCTGCCCTAAGTCCTGTGTGTGTGTGTATGGGGTTGGGGGGAAGGACTGGAGGCCTGAACCACCCAGATCCTTGGGAAGGAGGGACCTGGCCTCTGGAATCTGAGTGGCTTCTGTTTTGGGGATTCAGCCCCTGGATTTTGAAATAGGATGGGCTTGTGGCTAGGACTCCTGAGTCTTGGGGTGGAAGTCAGGTAGAAAGGCTGCTTTTCCAGGCATCTGACATCACTTCCCCTTCCTGGCTCTCTGGGGGCCACAGGCATGGAAAGATGTAGAGTTTGAGGTCCCAGGAGCATCCAGAGAAGGAAAACATCCAAGGTTGGAGGGTGGAAGGTTCGTGCTAATTAAAGGTCCCAGCAACGGACAGCCCTATGCCCGGGCCTTGAGGGACACCATCTGGTGACGGTCCTATGACAGAACCTCCAGCTGTGCACCCAGCTCGTTTCCCAGGAGGCGTGGGGCCAGTTGGGAGAGGGAACATGGGAGGAGGGCAAGGAGTTAATAACGGGAGGGAAGAAGACAGACTAGACTAGAGTCAAGGATGGAGCTGTGGGGGCTCAGCCCAGATGCCTCGTCTTGTGTAGGGAGGACCAGATGGGGGTCGTGGAGGGGAGAGACAGAGAAAGCGAGCAGTTCCAATTCCTGCAGGAGATCAGCAGGCAGAAGAAGCTTATCCCGTGTGGGTGTACAGGCGCACACTGGGGTGGGGAGGGCAGGCCAACCAGCATATGGTTATAAAATTCAAATATGTGACAGTCAGGAAGACTCAAGGATGGAGAAATGAATAAAAGAAAGAGGCGCAGTCCAAGGCTGACTGAGAACAAATATTTATTGAGCTCCTGGCGTGTGTGAGAGACAGAGCATCAGGTGGGAGAGAGGTACAGATGAGAACAGAAAGAGAAAAACAACGGGACTTCCCTGGTGGTCCAGTGACTAAGACTCTTCACTCCTAATGCAGGGGGCTTGGGTTCGATTCCTGGTCAAGGAACTGGAGCTTATATGCCACAACTAAAGATCCTGCATGCCACAGCTAAGACCTAGTACAGCCAAATAAATTAATATTTAAGAGAAAAATGGAGACGTGTACAGGCACAGACAATGACAGAGTTAAAGGCCAGCTGAGAGGTAACCACCTAACGGAGAGAGATGGGGAGAAAGACACCGACTCAGAGAGGGACAGTCTCAAAGTGGTGGAGAAAAGAAAGTAAAGCAAGATGAACTGAGGGAGGGAGAGAGACAGAGACATCCAGAAGGAAAGAAGAGATAGAAAGAGACCGAGGGACGCTTTGTGAACTAGAACTCACAAGACCCGTGCCAAAGTGTTTGCACGTTGGGCTCAGGGCTGGTGGCCTCGGACCCTACCTTTCATTCCCACCCACTCTGATTGCCCAGCACATTTACACCTGAAACACTTACACACACACACACACACACACACACACACACACACTGCACAAGTTTTCACAGATCACAGTTCACTATCAACTTCCCCAGGCATGTTCACTTACGTGCATTTCACACATGTGTGTGCACAGACATATGTACTCTCCCAGTCTCTCACACACACACTTGCACACTCCTCAGCAGAGATTCATGATCTCATTGAGAGGGCGATGTCTACTCAAGGAAGGAAGAGAGGCTTCCCTGGTGACTCAGTGGTAAAGAATCCACCTGCCGATTCAGGAGACACAAGTTTGATCCCTGATCCAGGAATATCCCACATACTTTGGAGCAACTAAGCCCCTGTGCCATGACTACCGAGCATGTGCTCTAGAGCCGGGGAGAGGCAACTACCGAGCCCACAGGCCACAACTACTGAAGCCCGAATGCCCTAGTGCCTGTGCTCCGCAACAAGAGAAGCCACCATAATGAGAAGTCTGTGCACCGGAACTAGAGAGTAGCCCCCACTGTCTGCAACTAGAGAAAAGCTGTCCAGTAATGAAGACTCAGCACAGCCAAAAAATATACAAGTAAAATTATTTTTTAAAGTTTTTTAATTAAAAAAAAAGAAAGGGAGGGACTTGAAGTTCAGGTACCAGGGTAGGAAAAGTAGGGGAGTCAGTCCCAGGCCGGGCCCAGCTCTCTGCTCCCCATGCTGTGTTGGGACCTCCTGGGTCTGACCTGTTCCCATTTACCCCTGGCCAAGACAGGCCCCTGGGGTCATGGGGGCTGGGGAGGGACCGAAGAATGTGCCTGGCATGTGCTGACAGGGGATTTCTTGCTCCAGCTGTGCTGGGAGGAGCCCTCCGGCAGAGGCCTGAAGCTGGAGACTCAAGAGTGTGCCTGGGGGAGGTGAGGATGAGCAGTGTAAGGACGAGATCGACTGAGAACGGGCCCAGTTCTGCCACTGACTGCATCATCGCTCTCCTGGGCTCACGGGGCCTGCCGGGTTCAGCGGTGAGTCCTCCCTGAGGGGCTGTGAGTGGAGACCAGGGGTGGGAGTGGCATGAGAGAAAAAAGAGAAACAGAGACTGACTTTGGGGAAGGAGATAGAGACAGAGAGAAAAAGAAAACCAGAGAACAAAAAAGAGCGAGAGAGAAAATACAAGAAAGAGAACAAAAGGACACAGAGCACAAAAAGAGAAAAAGAGAAAAAAAAAAAAAAAAAGACAAAAAGAAAAAAAGAAAAAAAAAGAAAAAAAAAAAGCACACACAAAAAGAGACACACAGAAAAACACACACAGACACAAGAGGGGCGCGGACACACCGGACACAAAAAACACAGAACACCGAAGAGCCCCCAGAAGACCCACAAAAAAGACACACCGCCGCCCCGGGCGCCTAAGAACACAGGAGAGGGAGACCCGGCCCCGACAACAGACACAGGGCCCCCACACCCCCGCCCCCCCCTCCACACACACACTCTGCCCTCTCCTACTGATATCTCTGTGTCCCCAGGCCTGACCCAGGTGCTGATCTCGGCCTCAGCCCCCCGAGGCTTCTGGGCTCTGCCCGAAAACTTGACGGTGGTGGAGGGGGCTGTTGCCGAGCTGCGGTGTGGGGTCCGCGCCCCTGGCAGCGCGGTACAATGGGCCAAAGATGGGCTGCTCCTCGGCCCCGATCCTAGGATCCCCAGTTTCCCGCGGTATCGCCTGGAGGGAGACCCTGCTAAAGGTAAGGGACCAGACCCTGAGATCCTGAGCTACCAGCGGAGGCTGACCTTGGCCCTGACCTTGGGTCCTACCTGCAGGTGAATTTCACCTGCATATTGAAGCGTGTGACCTCAGCGACGATGCAGAGTATGAGTGCCAGGTCGGCCGCTCAGAGACAGGCCCTGAGCTCGTGTCTCCAATAGTGATCCTCTCCATCCTGGGTATGAATGAGAGACCCCCCCCAGGACCCATGAGTCTGGACTGCCGCCCTCGCCATCTCCAGAGTGGGGGAGTCCAAGCCCCCAACCCCACTCCCCTTCCTCAGACTCAAAGCCCAAATCCTCATATCCCTCTGGATGGTTCCAGCTCACCCAGACCCTTTCTCACCAGTGCCCCCCAAGGTGCTTCAGTTGACCCCCGAGGCAGGAAGCACGGTCACATGGGTAGCTGGGCAGGAGTACATGGTCAGCTGTGTGTCTGGGGATGCCAAGCCAGC